AGGAGGACCCTGGGCCCCGGAAGCACCCTATTTAAGGCAGAAAGCAAAAGAATGGGAATAGGAAAAATAATCTTTATGTCATATCCAGCTAGAGAAAAAGTAAAAAAAAAAAAAAAAGTGGAAGTATTACTTTATGGATTGAAAAAGTTAATAACTCCATAAAATTTTGATTATAGATCTACTTACAGGCTCACCCTTGTTACCACTTTCTCCTTTGGAACCAGCTGGACCAGGCTCACCCTAGGGTCCAATACAAAACAGTGGTCAAATGACAAACATCTTATGCCTCTCTCGCAGACAAACATCTTGGAATATTTATGGATCAGGCATAAAGAAAAGCTCAGGTTGTTTAAGAAATGTGTCCAGTTCCTTTTAAGCAGGGGAATGGCCTGGTTGAAAGGACAAGACTGATTGAGAAATGCATCTCCTTGACCCTTCAGTAATGTTCTAGGAGAGCAGGAGGCGTGTGTGTGTGTGTGTGTGTGTGTGTGTGTGTGTGTGTGTGTGTGTGAGAGAGAGAGAGAGAGAGAGAGAGAGAGAGCATGCATGTATGTACATGCACTTATGGAAAAACGATGTTAAAAATGCCAAGGAAAGAAAAAATATGAGTGGCAAATCTACAAGAGGACGTCCAGCTGGTTATGGATGATGGCAGAGCGTCATTTCCCAGTGATGACCGCCAGGACCACTTACAACAAGTCCTCTGGCACCAGTAGCTCCAGCAGCACCGACAGGACCGGAGATGCCACGGGGCCCGGGGAGGCCAGGAGCCCCAGCAACACCGGGCAGGCCCTGCAAATGAAGCGCACATGGTCCGTGGTGAGGACGGGCAGGAGAGGCAGCACCCATAAAATGCCCGTCAAACCGCAGCAGTGCGTGCCTGTCATGTACTCACAGCGGCACCCTTAGCACCAGTCAGGCCATTGGCTCCGGGGTTGCCCTGTGAGGAAAAGGAAGGGAGGGTATCAGCTGACAGTGTTCCTGTTCTTCGACCCCCGCTTCACTCTCGGCTTTGCTTTCTTCCCCTCAGTGAGGTTAGTGACAGTGCTACTTACAGGAGGTCCGACGGGGCCAGAGAGACCTGGAAGACCCACTTCACCACGTGGACCCGCGGGACCAGAAGGTCCAGTGTTACC